ATCGACGAGTCCAGCGTCCACAGCGGCCTCGGTAGTGCTCGGTAGCTCCGGGAGGACCGACAAAGCGCCTATCGAGCGCCGTGAGCCCCATGCAGTCGTGTTCGCCCACCTAGGCTTGAACGATGGCGACGTCGAGAGCGGACAAAGGGACAGCGCCGGGATCGACGAGACCAGTGTCTGCAATGACCCTCGGTGGAGTTCGGACAACGGAGAGCTCGGTAGGGCCGGGCCGGGCCGGGCCGGGCCAGGCCAGGTAGTGAAGATATCAAAGCCACTGTCCCGCACCGCCTAGTCGTACCGCCTAGACGACTGCCACGCATCGACGCGCACGACGCACGACGCACTGGACGTCCTACACATGATGTCAGAATCCGGGCCCCTGTTCCGAGTAAAGCCAGCTCACTTGGGCGCGGAAACACGATCAAGGTCGATCCTAAAGGCAACAGCTTGACGACAGATACAGGCGCAGCTGCAGATAGTTGAGTTGATGCGAGAAAGCGCGTAAGGATAAGGTTGCGTACCCTGCGGAAAGATGTGCTTGCGGTCTACGGTGGCCTGGTTGTTTCCAGTAAGAGTTTGGCGATCATAGGCGCGCCGTTGGGTCGCATACTGGTGCGTGGGGTCGTGAGTGCCGAGCAGCGAAGCGTGGCAGAGTACCACATACACGGAACAGAGTGATGGGTTGATGTGGATGAGATAGTGCCGGCCCTCATGCCGATTCATCGGACGGCTTACATCTAGTCAGTATCGAAGAACGCGACCGGATACTGCATCAAGCTCACCTGTACGATGCCTGGATCCAGCAAGGTCGTCCCAGATATGTGTAAGAGAGTTTGCTGAGTGGCAAATCAGGCGGTCGTCCCACAGAACAAGCTCGTTGACGCTCACCACGAGGGGGACGGTGCAAGATCAGAGGGTCTTCGTCGTCCACGACCGTGACCCTGGTTCGTCTCTGATATCGCGAGTCGCAGAGTGTGTAGCAGCAGCGCGCCGAGTGTCCAAGTAACTTGTCGGTAAACAGTATACGACAGTCAAATGTGAGTAAAGGCAAAGTCGAGAGTCGCCGAAGATGCGCCTAGGAGTAGCTCTCATGAGTACACCAGACGTCTCGGCCAGAGTACAGGCGGGACGTAGGGCATATGATCAAATCGTGATGCCGAGGCCATTTGTCGTCTTAGTGGCGAGGTGGTCGTTCAGGTCGTTCAGGTCAACGAGATCCGAGAGCGCAAGACGCGTCTCCGGCAATCACCGCCATCTTGCACACGAGCTTCAGCGAGAGCGGCGCTTCGGGTTCGGCTCAACACACCACCGCCATCTTCGTCCTCTTTAACTCATGGAGAACTTGGTGTACCTCCTTCCTGCACAACAGACATCATGCCATGCTTCACCTGTTGGATCACCGTCTGCATATTTCATCCGATCGTCGCGTAGCTAGTGCCCCTCGGCGATGTTTGCCTTCATGAGTGACAAACCGACATGGACATTAATCAACATCAACGTTACTACCCAAACGCGCTACTCCCTTCCACGTCAAATCCTGTCTGCAAGCATTTGTGCGGCCTTCTCGGTGACCTTTCTGTGTTCTATTCAGTTCTCGTCTTGTTTAATCATCCAAAAAGATCACCCACATTTTCCGCTTCTCTGTGTCGCCTTGAGCTCTCTCCAATTCTGCCTCCGTCAATTGATATGGTCTGGCTTGGCTTGTCAAGACGTTCAAGACGTCGACAAAGTCTTTTGCCAGGTTGATCCAGTCCATGCGTTCACCTTTAGCCTCACTGTCTATCTCCGCACCCCAACAAAGCAGTGTCAGTACTAGCAGCCGCACCCCGTACAAGCCGGGTGTCAGGCGCTTGCACCAGTCCATACCCGGGTGGGCTTTCAAGTACAGTGTGCCATCGTCCCTACGCCGAGCATCCGCCTGTTGGTACGCCCATTGCTTTCCAAGCAAAGAGCCGATGTTCTGATCCAGTTGTGCAGGCTTCCGGCCCACGCCGGATGGGACCTTTTTGTGCCATGTCATTCTGGTCTGATTGGACGGTCCCCTATTCTGGAGTGACGCCGTATACTCGGGCTGCTGCTGGTGGCCGACTTTGTACCTGGAGAGGTCAAGGTCTGATTCGCTCTTTGCAAAGGAGTGAGTCTTTGTCCGCTCGTCCCGATCCATTAGGCTCACCTCGCCGCTCAGCTCCAACTTCATGTACGAGCGCACTACGGCGCAAGCAAGTCCAATATCGACTTTTCCTTTCAACTTTTTCGGGACGCCGAGGAAGAAGTTAGTCATCCCTGTTTGTATGAACCATTTTTTGTGAACTCTTCCTTCAATCGCCTTCCCGTCGCAGTCGCAGTCATTTTTGTACACCTTGACAAGAGTGAGCGTCATCTGATCCCACACTAGACGAGGCTCACCTTCAAATCCAGAGTGGCAGTATCAATATCGCTGATCTGATACGCGAATACACCGTCTGTCGTTTCCTGCGGGACGGGCCGAAACAGCGTGCCCGCATGTTCACCCTGCGTGGTGTGTGCTGTTTTTGCCTCCGCTCTGCCTGACCGTGTGGAGCCATATTGCTCCTGCGGCTCCAGTGCACGCGGCGCCATTGCCTTCGTCGGGTTTCCTACACAATCTGTGTGCTCAAGCGCGGCGAGCTCCCTTCCAATCTCGGCAAGCGTCGCTGTCGGCTGGTTTGCGGCATTAGCTGCTTCAACCCGAACCACCTTTCCTCGCGCTACGGGCTTTGGTCTTGGTCGTGGCCGTGGCTGTGGCATGCCGTTGGAAGGCTCGTCGACGTTGCCGTGCGCTGCTGTGGTAAGGCTGCTCTCGCACGGCCCCGTGATCGGACTGTACCCGTGATACTGTTCAGTTTCGGCCATATATGTATCCTCGCGCTCGTTGGTGCAACGGATTTCAGCGACGCGAGAATCAGGCATGGGATCAATTGCCGCGCTCAGATCATCTTCACGAGCTGGCTCGTTCCCCTCCTCGTTTCTCGGCGTCGACGCGTTAGCATGTTTCTCCCGGTTCGACGCCGTGCAAGCGGTTGCTTCTGGCAGTGATGTTGACGGTGGCACGCCGACTGGTCTCGCAGGAGGATCGCATTCCTCAGTATGACTGCGGTCTGTCACCCGCGTATCGCCACCAGCAGGGTCAAGAAGAGGCGCAGGGTCGTCAAGCGGGTTTCTGAGTGACATGTCGGGCACTTGGTTCATCTCTTGTGAAGAGCGAGCAGCCGCTGGAGCACCATCAGATAAGCGCACACCCCATTTCGATTCTAGACCGTGCGCACACATCAAGCTCTGCTTCCAGTTCGGGAAGTTGTGACGTACCGCTGACCAGACATGCCTGCGTATGGATGCGCCCGGCTAATCCTTCCAACAGTTTCCTTTCCCCCGCAATGTCACCGTAGAGAACCTTAGGCATTCCCGCTACGTCACATGTCCCTTGAGATCTATCATGCATCAGCTTTTGCGCTCGTCCAGTAATAGCACACGTACAACAAGACGTTTCCTGCCCCGGCCAAGATCATGACGGCCATACCTCCGCAACGCTCGGCAAAGAACTGCATGAGATCCTCTAGAAATAGTTGGGACGCCGACATGAATCTGCACGCGGTATTTAGCACATCTTGACACACGTTTTCGTCGTTGCGCTCACTGTGTTGCTTCCTCTACAGACTTTGGAGGCGCGAGGCCCTTCTCCCAGTCCTTCATATCCTTCTCCAAGATCTCTTTTGCCTTCCTGACCGTCTCCTCCTTCACCTTGTCATCGGTCGCCGCATAGCCTTGACTGGCCATGGTATTCCATAGGCCAATACGAGGATAGTTAGGGTCGCCCTTCTCAAGCCGCAGGTCCAACAGACGTGCATCTACTTGCGCCTCAAAGCCGGGGTGCGAGCTCGCCCACACCTTACATTGATGCCTTAGAGTCGGCTTTTCCATGTACATCTGGATGAGCTTCTGGATATCGGCAGCCGAGCCGCGCTTGTCGGTGGCAGTCTTATAACGACTGTTATACTTCGACAGAAAGCGCTGCGACATATTCTTCGCGATGTTTGAGCAATGTCGAAATTGACGTCAAGCAAGGAACACTCACTGTGCGGACACGCTTCACTAACTGGTCCCGCTCCGTATCTCTATCGCTCATGCTAACACCCTTCTTCGCCTGCTTTTCGATCTTCAGTACTTCCGCTTTGCACTCTGCCACGACGCTCTCTGTCGGCTCCTTCGAATATGACGTGGTTTGCTCCGGATCATCCCAACCAAACACGGAGAAGAATAAGTAAAGCTCGTTATCGAGAAACTTGTGTTTGACAGCTTGGGTGACTGGGCGAGGCTGTCTACGCAAGGCGTTGTAGAAAATCTGTCGACCATCGAAGTGTACGCATTGTGGGGGGCCAAACTTCGACGGGCGGCCCGGGCCACGGTTCTCCGTATGGATGTGGTCCAACTCGAGAGTCATGAGGAATAATCAGATAGCGGATAGTGCTGGATACTGTGGTGGGGAGTTGATAGTTTGGGCGACCACGAAGGACAGCGCTTTACCGTCCGGGTTTTCCGACTCCGACCGCCCAGATCTGAGACGGGAGTTAAAGATCGCCTTTTCATTACACGGGGCCTGTTTGACGCGTTCATATTGGAGAGGGCAGACAAGTGGTGTTTCAGCACTTGGGGATATCGAACGCACGCAGCGCTTTGTCAATGCGCCATTTCATACTGTCCACAGTCCCTTTGACATGAAATCCGTCGAAAGACTAGAGAGGAATGCCAGTCATCGTCACACCATATGCCGGACAGAGAGCAAACGGGTCGAATGCCCGATGCGCCTGTGCTACAAGCTGAGAATCACTGTCATGATCTTTGCTCGGGACTTGATCTGCCGGCACACGGTTGGTTTCAGTGAGTGTTCGACGATCCATCCCCTCGCTTGCGTCGTCATCATACAATTCCGTCGACGGACCGACATCTACGCGGGTTTGGCTCCTACTTCTGCTTCTGCTTCAGCCTCAATCCCGTCACTCTGTAGCGTAGGTGTCTTGGTATTCACCGTGATTCGCGCACGCGCGCGATCCCGTCGTATAGCACCGCCTCTTCCCTCCGGACTCTAATCGTCTCTCGGCGCACGCCTGCGCTTTCCGTTATTTCATACAATATTCAGGTTAAGTTATGTGGTCATACATGTTCTGGTTCGTCGTCAACCAGCCTTTCCGCCTGAAGGAATGTCGAACGAAGCTCTGCATCTGAGATAGGAGCGTGCTCGGGTGCACCTGTGTATACAGAAGCCTTGGACACCTCACAAACGTATATATGCTCCACACCATCCTCCAGGCTGGTGCCATGGCCCAGCGATCCTCCAGCTAGGTGATCGTCAGCGTCATTCGAAGAACGGGAGACGTGCAGCGCGCACTTGGTTCGATGATCCTGAAGATGACGCTCGTGACTATGGAGGATGTAATCGTTAAAGGAAGTGGATACTGCTCGGGCCGTCAGCCGCTGAAACTATTGGAATGAGGATGAGAAGTCATACACAAGGGACGGTCCGACCTCTCGCCGCAAGCTGAGACCACGTTAAAGTTGACACTTGCTGGGGTCTTCGCTGGCAAGCAACAGATGATAGACGCTGTAGTCTCGGCGTCCGGGTGAATGCAAAGCCACGCTGATATTGTCTTCGATTGGATGAGTATGAGCACAGTACCCCGAGATAAGTAGATCGCGCACAGATGCAACATGGCTTGTACAATGCCGGTAGATTGAATGTGCCCTGGAAGGGGAAGAGCAGGTGAGTGGTGCGGCCATAAGACGATCTACATCGGAGGACCTAGAAGATATCAGATCGTTGAGATCGCGGGATGCGCGAGGACACGTACAAGTTGTTTCGAGGCTTGTTTGAGGAAGGGAGACGTATCTACTACGGAAAGAGCAGGTCAGCCCATACGATCATGCCGCGCGAGAGTCAGACATACTGCGAGCTCGGAAGAACGCGGGCATCAAGTAGAGCAGAGCTAAGCCTGACATTACATCTAGCCACCGGGGCCAAGGCGCTATGCCTCGACTGTAACGGACGGCGAGCGGGGAGCGTAACATCATACGCCTGTCCACCCCTCGTGACGTCTCTGCATTGCGTGGGGGCGCCTGGCGTCCTTCACTTCGATGCAGGAGAGCAGCAAAGGCGTCGGGCGTGCGCAGGAACTCATTGTGGAAGCGAGGATACTGGGGGAGACCGATGGGAGCCGTGAGGAAGTTGTTGGCGGTCTGGCGCGAGGAACCGTTCGAAGCCCATTTTGACAGAGAAGGTCCTTCGCGACGGCGCAAGGATTGGAATCAGACCTGCCCGGCCTCGTACGACACCGCAGCAATCCTGTCGAAAGGCCATGAGACAATCAGAGTGTGTTCGCAGATGAACGAGCCGTGCCACGTACATCGCATGTCTCGCGGCGCTTGATAGATCGTGACTGTCGTTCTGGAGCTCATGGACCTCGTCCGCGGGCGCAGAGTGAGAACGAACTTAAGTGCCCGGGACCACCGCAGGCTTCGCGCGCGCGAGAGATCCGCTTGCTCTCGCTATAGGTGTATCAGAAGGGCTCATGATTGCACATACGATGATGAACATACCTCCGGGTACCTATGATCAGAGTCGTCGCCGGGCCAAACGTCTTGGGAACGGCGGCGGCGGCGGCGGCGGGTACTGGTGGGCAAGGTCATGAAGCAGAGTGGAGTGGCGGGAAAACTATCGAGTCGCGCGTCGAGGGGAGATGTGATGGGCGACTTGGAACGTTCGGGGGAGCACGACGGGCAAAGGCAAGAAGATAGCATGCGTGAGCTGCCTGCCCCACGGGTCGCGGTTCCCTCTGTACGCATCGCGTACCGCCGCGCAGGGCTCGGTTGGGACAAGGAAACGGGTATGAGACCGGATGCATGCGTATTGCCGGCGCCGCGGGACGATAATGCGAAAACGGCGCAGGCCGAGAGGATGCGGCGGCGCCACGGCCTGAAAGCACCCAACTGCGTGGACGATGCCCGCAACCCGTTCGTGCAAGTAAAGGCGCGCACGCCCATGACCACTCTCCGCGGAATCGAGCAAGATTCATGCGCGAGACGCGTCGCGCCCGAAGGGTGAACAGCTTGGCACTCTGGCGGCGTTTGGCGTAGACGCCCGTCAGGGATCCAGCCGCCGTCGATACGCGACAAGTGCATCCTTCCATCCCTCGTGCTTCTCGGGTCGGGTTGAAGAAGAGACAGTATCGTAGGGAGACTCCGATGAAGAGCTCGAGACAGGCTGGCGCGACCGGCAAAACGGGATTTTAAAGGCCCGGGCGACATTTAGATGCCGGTGCCAATTAAATCCGCGTGCCTTGCAAGCTCGGGCTCCGATCGCGCGACCCTTCGCCCAAGGATGGCCGTGAAAGTCCTGTCCTACCGAAGCACACTACGGTTCTACATGCACGCATACCTAGTATTGAGTGTAAAGTGCACGTATACAAAGTCGTAGTATCCTACAGCAAGTGCCTCTGGAGGTCTTGGTTCACAAACAGATCTTTTCTCATGTACGGACTCTCTTGACAACTGTTCAGAACTCCTGTGCCCTGCACACCCCGTCTCGCAGACTTGTTCACGGCCCATCCTAATTCTCAATCAATCGCCCTTCAGCCTCAAGCGACGGCGCGAACGGAATGAGACATCGACAACAGGTCACGTCCCGGGAATATGCATCGAGTTCACCCTCATGACGACCGCCATCGCCCGCACATGAGCCAACACTTGCGCGTTCGTTGTCGCATTCCGCGTCGCAGCCGCCATCTACCACGGTGGTCAGCCTTGCTAGGGGAGGACTCGGTTTGGAAGTGACCAGCACTCACAGTGTGATTCGGCCGCGCGTTGTCCAGTCGCCACACGATGTCTTGACGCTGAGAAAGCGCCTGAAGTGGCTCTTGCGCTTGTTGGCGATGTGTTCAGGGTCTTCTTCCAGGGGAGAAATGTCACTAGACAGAATTCAGCAAGACTGGGTGTTCGAGTGAAGACGTAGTATACGCACGCTGCGAAAGCGCTGATGGCTTCCTGATGCGCCGGCGCGATCATGCTGCCCTCTGCGGTTCTGCGTCTGGACGACGCGGCCAAGCCATATACGCGCTTATGCATATCGCGCATATGACTCTTGTTGTTTGATGCTGTCTTTCACGGGCGTCAGTGTTCGGCCTCCTGCGAAGCGATTCACATACGACCTGATTGTGTCCCGAACGACTCTTGGCGCACGTACTTGCCACGCAACTGGTCTTGCGACACGAATGAACACCTGAAACAAGTCCACGATGCCACGGGTAAAGTAGAACGACGGTGATAAACGCAGGCACTGATCTATACGAAGAACCAATCAGCAACGGGTAGCTGACAAGCACGCGCATGACACGCACGAGTACTGAGCCCAAGAGGCCTCGCCGCTTCTGAACGTGCCCGTACAGGATGTATTGCGCTGAAAGGTGCTGTGTACGCACCGCGCTTTGAATGAACGTTGCAGCGATATGTGGTTCAACAACAACATCTCGACCTCCTGAGCTACCATACCGCTCACTAGAACCATATAATGAGGCCCGCGGATGTTGGCGCAAAGGCTATGTTCACTCCGTTTCTGCGTCGACTAGTGGTGGGCACAGTGAAGATGTTCGAAATTACGGAATGTCCCGACCATAGATGCCATAGGCCATGGGAGGAGCAGGTCCGTCAGCGAGTGCTCAACACCAGGCAGTCGACCAAGTTCCATGCGCCCAGAGGCGAGTGCATTCGTTGATTTCTTGTAAGTTCTGTACACCTTATATGCTCGCGTGAGGCTGTGCGGCAGACAATATGAGTAGGGTGACGGACCGTGTGTAGGCTTTATAGTGCATCGGCGTCCTGACTTGCAAGGTAGCGCACCGGGCGCGCCAAGACAGATAGGGCGTCGGAAGAATAGTGGTAGCTCTGACGTGCTTGGGGGCAAAAATCAAATAATAAAGAGGATATTGCGATGCAAGCTCCGGTGAAGGTGATGCGCTGTAAGATGAAAAGATAGCTAGCGGTAGAAGTATGTACGATGAACGAAAGGAAACGCTCACCGCATGGCTTATTAGGCGACCAGTGAACGTGTGGTATACGACGGGTTACTATGGTGCCATATCAGCGCTGCCTAGTAACATATCAGCGTTGTAGAATACACATAGTGATCTGAGTGACCAACCTCGACTATAACCATGACAGCTTTGGCTTCGAGAGCGATCAGAGGTAACGATGATGATGAGTGGCTGGGACCATGATCTAGGCAGCTCCTCTGTAATCACGCTCTCAGCTCATGGATTTGATCCGTCGACAGGCATCGGCCTAGCACACTAGCCGGAGCTATAACCTAGCGTGTGTTCGTGGAGGGAGGTCGTGCATCATTCTCAACTTCGTGGGATATTCTCCTGCGGCCGTTCAAGCGTATTGTCGCTACACCTGAATCGTAGGTCAAGGCGCGGAGAAAACGAAAGGTCTCATTCTTTAGTGCACGTAGACTCAGCAGCTGCGATAGTGTCGACGGAAGATTATCCTCCCGTGCATGTGCACATGGGAGTAGAGAACAAGACGCGTGCGACGCGTTTGGAAGCGCACACGGCTTCGGGTCGAACCACCATCATCACGCCTGTTCGCCCATGCGCCCTCGTTCAGGAGGAAGGTCTGGAATGATTGTCGATGAACAAAGTTCTAGTCGGCGCTTTACTAGATCGATGTTCGTAGACTCAGCGATGTCGCGGGCATTTTCAGCCACCAAGCTCGCGTCAAACCCTTGCGACGCTTCACGCTCAGTCTCCTGAAGTTTACGATGGCTTCCGTGGATTGTCATAGCACTCACAACTTCCATTTGAGCGTCCCGACGGTTAGATGGTCGTCCAGTCTTCCGTGTGAGCCCTGATCCAACACATCAGTCTCCAGAACGTCGCGGGCGCAACCCTCGTTCGTGCACGATGACGTTGTGCGCATGCAATAGTGGTCTGGACGCGCGGAGTACACGATACAGACAAGTGACAGAAGATCAACTACGCTACCTGTGTGCGTCGCAGCGCGTTATCCGGGCCTATAAGGGATGGCATGTGCGACAAACATTGAAACACACAGGCCTCAGCACACGGCGACTTGCCACGCATGGCTGCCATCGACCCGACTTAGTCCATTTACCCGATTTCTTGCTTCCTGGCTGCAGCAATGCTGTTTCTCGTGCTGCTTACAAGTTTTTTTCCGTCAAAGCTGGAACCTCGGCGTCGTGATCTTATGGTTCTGCTTCTGCTTCGAGAATCTGACTGGCGGAATTAATTCGGTCATCTGGCTCGATAACGCAGACATCAAGCCTTACGACTATCGCGACATCGGTCAGTACACCTTTCACGACCGGACTGTATCTGCTCAGAACCATCTGCTAGTCACGCACGTATAACTGATCACTGGGATTGTGAAAGCTATGGCCACCCTCACAATCACCCGCCGACTCTGTCCAATTCCCAGCTTGCGATCCATAGAACCTCACACCACCAGGGCACTGAGTCACGGCGCATCGCTATTCTTCTGTTTCCAAGTGCAACATCAAAGACGTCGAGATCTCGCAATAGAGTGGGCTCTGGGATTGGGTATACCTCTTCTCGTTGCCGGATCTCTCTGTGAGTACTTCGAGATTCACAATTGGTTGTACATGCTCAGCTCTCTTTGAGACTACGTAGTGCACGTGCTCTGATTCGAGGGTATCGAGGGATTCGGCTGTACCGGCTCTCTCGACACCTCAATCCTCAGCATGTTATTCGCTCGATTGCGGAATGCGGTCCCTCCCTTGGTGTCCATCACTGCCTACTATCGTACGTCAGACTGAACGATCGCTCCTTGATCTCGTAATGCTCATGTCTGATTCCTGAGCCCATGTCGCTCGGATGTTCTATCGCCACAATCGAGAAATCAACCATTTCTGACAGAGTAATGACCCGGTATTCCGCACGAACCATCTCCGCATCCTCGCTCTTTCCAGCATCGACACTCTGCTCACCTTGCCGTACTGGCGTCTGGCGACACTCTCAATGTAGCCGAGTTCTACTCCACCGATTGGACCTCGTCAATTCTCGCCTTCGTCATGTTTGGTCTCTTCGGTGTTACGTCGGAAGCCCGCGCTTCGTACTGGCGCATCATCTGTATCGCCTGCGGCTGGTTCGGCCGGTAACTTCGCGAGCGCACGGCGCGTGCGGCATCGTTGAGACCTATCGAAGTTGGCCAAAGCCTGCGCAGAACTCTATGTCCCTAGGTCTCGAGTACGTTGACCCGTACGTTCACAAGAACTGGACTGATGTTGATTGACTAGCTCGCACCCAAGTCTCGTCAACCCCAACGCACCCCCCTCAAGGTCAGGGTGGAGAGGGAGTTGTTGTCGGCAAGGAAGAAAATGCCTCGGAGAAGGACGCGACAGAGGAAGCATGCCGGGACACTAGCGAGGTAACGTGAGTAGTTTGAGGACGTGTGCACCAAGAGTATTGCTCAACGCTTCAGGTAGGCACTCCGAGCGCCCGATGCAGTCTTCCGGATCATGCCAAGCAGGCTTTGGTAATGCTTTGCTATATGTATACTTAGTGTGTCATTGCGTTTATGAACGGCTCTGCGCAGCAGTGTTGCGACTTCTCGCTGTGCAAGGTCAATCTGGGTTTAGGTAGCTAGTCTTGAATCCTTCTATACGCGCGCTCTTGCATCATGAACTTGATACGTTGTGGCCCCTCAATATACCTACATGAATTGTACTAGCGTGTTACAAAGCCCACAACAACTGTACAGATGAAGCCAGATGCGGGTCCCCCGAAGCGCCAAAGGAGATACAACAGCTGTGCGGGGAGGATCTTGACATCTGACTGATGGGTCGGTGTGATTTTGAGCCGAACTCCTGCGATGACACCCGTCAGTACGGATATGTAAGTTTGGACTGTTAGAGCGCGCCTACGCCACTTCCTCAGTCCTTCCACGCGACCAAGGATCCACCCTCCCTCGAAGACCTGACTCGGGATGTGCCACCAGCCGTCACGGTAGGTGACAAGCATGATGCGACGACGCGAGTCGCGCGACCGGACGTGTACCTCCTCCTGTAGAGATATTAGTCTCCTAAAGCAGATCAGCCAGAAGAGGAGTCGTTCCTTGGTCTGCGCTTCCTGAAGCGACCATACGCAACATGTAATACACTATCAGTGCCGCGCCTTCCGTTATGGTACTGATAGGAAGATTTTTGCAGAGCTCTGGCTCATAGAGCAGTATATCGGGCAATGCGTACTAGCAGCAGACAGAAGAAATCAGACTACAGATATAAACCGTTCGGTATGTTCAATATGTTCAGATCGACAAGCAAAGGGCGGGTAGAGTATGTAAAGACAAGTAAGACGAGGTGTAGGAGGGAGATCATATGTTAGCTAGTTGTAGCAGCGAGGAGAACGGCAAGGCTAAGAGGGTACACGAGATACGTTTCTACGGACACAGTGAGGAGAAAACAGCATAGGCATCAGAATCAACGAGGGACGGGCGAAGACGAAAGCGCAGCACGCGCATACATAGACGAACTAGAGATTCTACATCCAGGAGAGATCTTACATACGCAAGAACGCCCTAAGCGGCGCTGCGGTCCTGACCCCGTTCGCGGCAAGCCTCGTAGCATGCACACATGCCCATACTAGCGCAACTAGACACGATAGTTAGCATACGCATTGGTGATGTTGAACCGAGAAAGACTCACTGATGAGAATAGGGATCCAGAATAGCAACAACATCCGGTCCTCCTTCTGTGTTGCAGGCCTATCAGCTGGGCGATAGCCGTACGCGGCGACCTCGCTTGCATCGACACGTTCGTCGTACTTGGCCTTCTGAGCCTTCGCGCGACGTGCGGCGCGGGCGCTAGTCTCCGGCTTCTCATCCAGCTCGAATTCGACCTCCTCGATGACTTCCTCGACCACAGCGACAGGTGCGGGCGCGGGTGCAGCGAGAGCAGGAGCCTTGCCCTTCTCGTCCGTCGCAACAACTTCTCCGTCCGCCCTCGGTGTGTACACTGGCGGCGGCTCATCCGCCTCGACACTCCTCGCAGCGAGAACCCACTTCTCCAACGCAGCCCTCCACTCCTGCGGTGTCAAAAGCGCGCGAACGTTCGCGGGCACACCACGCATGTACGTCATGTTCGCGTCGGGTTGTTGCAAGAACGCAGGGAACACGAGCGGCATAGGGAGCTGCATTGGGATCATCGGGAGCTGAGTCGCCCATTGCGGGACGAGACGGCGTTGGAGAGCTTCGAGGAGCGTTGCGGCCTGTTTCGCGTTGACCTTTTCACTCTTGTCTTTGTGATCGCTCTTCTCGTCCTTGTCCTTCTTCTCTGACCTCGGCAGAGGAGTGCGTTCCTCTTCGGAAGAAGAGAGGACGAGTGGCGGCTCGGTAGTCGAGCGCCGTCCGCGCCTGCGTCTGCGAGGTACGAGCGCATGCTCATCCGCGCTGTCTTGCTCCGCATTGCCCCAATGGCTCTCGTCATCTCTTGCGTCCTCCTCTTCGGCGGCCTGTACAGTATCGACTGGCACCTCAACAGCGGCTGCAAGGTCAAAGTCGGCGACCTCGGCCGCTGTCTTGCCCCACGCATCGACAATCTCCGCATCGGCACCAGCGGTAAGCAAGGCGGCCGCGCATAAGCGGGCGCCAGCATGGGCAGCGAGGTGTAGCGGTGTACATCCATTCGCGTCCCGCGAGTCGATGTCCGCGCCGCGTTGTGCGAGGGCGCGCACAAGCGTAGGCAGGTTGGCGAAGGCCGCCAGGTGAAGAAGACTCTGCCTGGCGCCTGTTGCGTGTGCCAACGCCTGATAGACAGGTATACCCGAGGAAGATGTGGCGGGAGCGTCGAGGAACGCGAGCGTATCGAGCACAAGCGTCTCAACATCCTTGGCGCCGGCGCCGTACGTGCCACCTGAGCCGGCGCCACCTCCACCAGAGCCGGGCTCAATGATGCGCATAGCAACGCTCTTCGCATCTTCAATCTTGCCCGTCATCTTGAGACCGACGACTTGCAGCGCGAGCTCCATCCTGCACGCGCAGACGAGTCAGTAACTGATCATACACGAGGAGTATAAGAGGCGATACGCACAACTGGCGGTCGCTCTCGTCCGTGTACGTGAATAGCACCTCAGGCTCGACAGCACCATTAGGCGCAGACTCGAAGCCTTTGACCCAAACGGGCACAACGCCGCTTGCGACTCTCGGCGGCAACACACAAACGAGCGTATTCTCGCTCCATCGGGTCGTGCACGAAGACGCAACGCCATCGAACACGACTTCAAGCTGAACATCCTCCGCGAAGTTCTGACCCAGACATGTAACCTCAACGCCACCGGTTATGGGTCCTTGAGCCGGGATCAACCTGTGGATCCTGGGAAGCGGCACAGGGGCGGCTTGTTGGGGTTGCATTCCCGTGTTGAAGAAGAGGTATGGCATCGGGAAGCCCGTTTGTGGTTGGGGTTGCTAGACCGGTGCTACCATTGATTGACTGAAGGAGCTCCATGACGGAGTCGGCACGAAGGACGATGCGTCTGGGAACGCGCTCGCCAGGTCAAGCTCGAGGGACATGGCGTCCACATCCAGTGCGCCAAGCCCTCCTGTATCCGAGCCTCCACCGGGTGATGCGCCGAAGTTGTACGTGCTCCCTTCACTCGCACTGGCCGGCGGCGTGAGCGGAGCGGGCGGTAGCATTGCAGCGAAGTTCTGCATGTGTACAAAGCTCGAGGCTAGGCTCGTTGATGTCACCGGGGTGAACGCGGCTGAAGAAGCGGGCGTCGCGGGACGCGTGTCGCCCGGCGTACTCAGGGTCTCGCTCTTCACCCTCTTCGCCCGGCCAGCATCAGACGAAGGCGCCTTCCGCTTTTCCCCCGTAGGTGCAGAGACTGGCTCCTCATCTTCTCCAGCAGCATCCTTCTTCACACCAGTACTCTTATGATCGTCCGTGATCATGATCGGTGGACTC